TTTTTTTAGCTTACGCTATGTGAATGGGAACATGTAACAAATATAAAATAGGTGTTAAATTTAGGGATCAGTGCCAAAGAAAGCTGCCCCATAAGGTGCCATGATTACCCCTCTAGCCACTCCCGCCTCTGTGGAAGATGGTTCTGAGATCCTGCCGACTACGCCAAAATGATAATGATTTTTTTATAGGCTTATCTTATGTGAATGGGAACATGTAACACATATAAAATAATATGATATATACAATATAATAAAATATAATATAAAATAATGTCAGAACGTAGATGAGAAGGAAGAAGAGAAAGAGAATTATAGTAAAATATAAAATAAATGTTATCCCAATTTGCCTGCAAAATCGGAAATACTCTTTAAAGTGATGTCATTCCTCTCTTGTTTTCAGGCTTTCCAACGTTTCCACCGACGCCAACGGCGGTACTGAGGGATGTGGAGGGGAGGAGCTTCCTTACTGTTCCTCTCCCTGCTACTGCCACTGCTGCCCTCTACTGGCAGGGCACAGAATTCCCTTACAGATGACGAGATTGAAGAGTTCCTGGAGGGATTTCTGAAGGAACTGGTGCCCGAAGAAGAGGAAGAGGACAAGGGGGAGCCTAGGAGGGAGGAAGATGAAGAGGAAGGAGTGATTACCAGGGCGGAGAGGTACGAGGAACGGGAAGACACCAAAGTGGGAAAAAAGACAAAAGCAGCAAAAGGCGAAGATGGAGGTGAGCTAAGTGTGGAAATTCAGGAATAATCTTCATTACTGCTGTGTGTGTCTGGAAAGCTGTGGCTGAGATTCCTCTTTGTTAGTAATTAGGGTCAGGGAACCCAAATTATGACCTCAGAAAACCTCAGAAAATGTCCAACTATCAGAGCTGATACACCTATGTAATCAATTAAAGTAATATGAAACTCTTTTGAGTTTCAGAATAATGACTCCGGATCAAACAAGTAGACATTGCCCAGCAAAGCATTGCACCTACAGTCACCAGGTTTCTGAACAGCTGCTTCCAAGTCTCTCAGCTCGGCTTCCCTGAATGTTCTGTCCTGTACAAGATCACAAAGGGCAGTGCAGACTCCAACAACTGTTCATCTACTAGTCTGGAGAAGGGAGGATAGGGGGCCGGGGTGGGGAGGGGAGCAGCTTGATTTGCTGTGTCTGTGTGTTTGTGGAGACACACAGCTTACTAGCACACACAAGGGTGACTGCATAGCACCCTGCTTGAGAAAGGAGCCACCCTAAAACAGGAAGTCAGGACCAGTGCTCAGGTGACCAGCTGATTCTGCAGGCAGCTAACATTTTTAAATTTCAAGGAACAGCATCTCACGCTCTCACCTGTGTGGTCCAGTTATGACGAATGACGTGGTATGACTGCATGGCATTTAGTAGAGGAAGACACTCATCCAGGATTTCAGTTCTACAGATATTGTGTCACTGCCCCTCCTTCTTTTTGGACTGCTACTGAGCATAATCATGTTGATGAGCACCCTCTCTCGCCCCTAATTCCCATCAACATATAAAACAGGCATTTCCACTTGTGTATGGGGTGCCCTGCCCCCGAGACATAAATCAGGTAACCCTAATGGAAGATTGGGTGCTGAATACCAGCAGGACCTCACCCTATGATCCATAGACTGCGTGTAATCCCGTGTATAGCAGGCTGGCACAGGAAGGGCCGGTGTTCTATCAAAAGTTCCAACTCGTCGAAATCTCCAACTATTTCACTGCTGGGTACTTGCAAGTTGGAGATTTCGACCAGATGGCGTTAGACTGCAAAACAAAAAGACTGACGCAGCTCTGTACGGCTGCACTTTAACAATATTCAGCAGGTGGCAAACTCGACGAATATTGTGAAAACGATATGCGCGCATGCGCACCGCAACTGTACAGAGCTCCAGTTTTTCTGAGCACCGGAAGTGAGGTAGTTGTAGATTTCAATGAGTTGCAGCTTTCTATAGAACACCAGCACAAGACTAATGCAGGTGTTGACAGTGAGCATGCTGAGAGGAGCAGGGTGATGACTAATCAGTGTGCTGCTGCACTTTCACTGTCCAATCAGCAGGCTTGGGGGGGGGGGGGGAAATTCCTTTGCCTGGTTAAATGGTTCCTGAAAGGTGAATATTAGTGGTGTATTTAGCTATCTGTCAAGGGTTTAGGTTTAAAGGAAACCCATCCAGGGAGAAATATAGACGATGCTGTTACTGGCTTCCTGAAAATGCTGCATTCCTGACCTGGAACAAACATGCCGATCTGAGTCTGAGTGAATTAAGAACTCCTGTTTTTCGAGGTCATTGACTCAGGAAGTACTGAAGTCATGGAGCAGAACAATGGCCAGGGGAATAGCATCTTCAGGAGGGGCAGATCAGGAATGGCAGCCTTCTTTCCTCCTCTGTATATCTATGGTTTCAGACAGACATTATCATTCAGCTGGTGTGACTGGTGGTCCTGAGGCAATACAGTCATTATTTCTGATACCTTTATAAATGGGGTCCACGGTGAGGAAATGCTATATTCTCCAGCAGCCAATCAGAGATTGCATTTGAATAGTATAAGGTAGTAAGACTCATTACAGCTGAGCCGTGATTGTCTGCTGAAGGTCAGCACTCTCTATACCGTGTATCACGGTGTGTTATATACAGTATCTGACTGCGGTTTCTGCATGTCAAGTGTCTGAACAGAATGTCCTTGTGTTTCCTGTAACAGTCAGTCAGGATCTTCCTTTCCTCATGTGAACTCCCCAATATTTTTCAGACTCATTTGATATATGAAGCCATAGGTGTCTGTACTGCCATGTGATCATATACGCATTCCTGGATGGTTACTTTTCTGGTTGCTGGTGACCTGACTCATTTCTTTTCTTCATTTCTTGCTGGATACATCATGGAATGGAATGTTCTGTGATACACGTCTGTTTCTAGTCGTTTCTGAGCCTCTCCAACTCATTGGACCACATCTGTACAAAGGGTCTGCAAGGAAAGTTGCCCATAGCAACAGAATCCATCCTGATTTTTGGTTGATGTATTTTTACTGAAATGTTTTAAAACATGTACACAGTACAGATAAGCATGCACGTGAACCAACATAAACCTTTTCAGAAATTTGAGCTGCAGTAGCTCTTCTATTGGATTGGACTACACGGACCAGTCTTCGCCCCCCACGTGCGTCAGTGAGCCTTGGCCACCCACTTCCAGGTGCCATTTTAATATATCCCCCCACTTCCAGGTGCAACTTTGTACAGCAAGTCCATAGCATAAAACTAACAAAACAAAACATCTGCTTGTCTAAGCCACAAACTAAACTATCTGCTGGTTTCTCAACACATACAGGCAGGTCTTCTACCTTTTTAGTGTTCTGCCAGCACTCAGCCTTTTCACCCAGCAGAGAGAGAGTGCAGCCTGAGCCTCTGTCAGTTTACATATTAAAATTCCTGAGACTTAATAATGAGGTCTAGCTTCAGCTAAGATGTGGAACAATGAATGGAGGCTTATTCTGACCCAAAGTTTTACAAAACCTCTGGGCTCCAGGGCAGGAATTGGGGGGATGGTGCTATGGCTGTATGCAAGCCATACAACATGTTAGGTAACCTTTTTGTGTTCTTAATGAACTTTGATAATCCACAAATATGGGTATCTAATAACAAAAAACAAGTCCATTAGATTAGTAAATTGCGTTTGAGAGTTGAATTTGGATGACCTTTCCAGTTTTTAATGCTCTTGATATTTCATTTCCATGAACAGAATCATCTGTGAAAGCTAAAGAAAAAGCAAAGAAAGAAAAGAAGGAGAAAGCACCTAAACCTACTAAAAAGCCCAAAGAAAAGCCTCCCAAAAAGGAAAAGACTCCTAAACCGACCAAAAAGCCAAAGGAAAAGAAACCTAAACCCACCAAGAAACCCAAAGAAAAACCACCAAAACCTACCAAGAAGCCAACAGGAAAGAAACAAGATCAACATCCAGATCAGGGCAGATTCAGTAAGCCAAAAGTTACTGTGGAGGAAGAAAGGCATACAAGAACCAAAATTGAAGAAGAGGAGGAGGACAAGGGATATAGCAGACCTGAAAGTGCTGATGACTATGAAGACAGTTATAGAAGACCACCAGCCACAGGGCGAGAAAGGGAGGATAGACCTAAAAGGCCACACATTCCAGGGAAAGAGGAAGATGTGAGATACAGAAGGCCTCACGGATCAGTGGTGGAAGAGGAAGAGGGATACAAAGAACCTCATGCACCAGAGGATTATGACTATGAGAGGTACAAAATACCCCAGGTCACAGAAGCAGAAGATAAGTATAGAACACCACATGCGGCTAAGGATGTTGAAAATAAGTTTAGGACACCTGTGATTACTGAACAAGACAGATACAAAAGACCTAAAGTCACAGAAGAAGAGGACAGGTACGGGAGACCTTCAGTGACTGACTCAAGAACACCAACTGGAGAAGATGAAGGTAAGTGTAGCCTTCAAAATACTGCCCGGAATAGAAGTTAGAGTCTATATAAGGTGTACTTCACTTAATGTCACTCAATAAGTTCCAGATCCAGCCTAATATTAAAGTGTATTAAACCCAAAACCAAAAATGTAACATATTGCAGCTTACCAATCCTTAGATGTAGTCGCTTCATTCTCTTCCTATAGGATTTCTTCCCCTTTATTTTCACCTACTGATCCTTCTAGTAAGCCACTTCTGTCTAGGTGACACATCTTAATGTACTTATATCTATGGAGCAGCAACCTACAGAATGCTTTCTCTTCTCCTATACTCCGTAACATGAGGGGAGGTGGGTTTTGTAGTCCACAGATAGAGCTGGGATAGAGTGAAGCACAGGCATTTATTAGCTGTCAAGATTTCTGGCAGAATCAACAGGTTTTCTTTGCACTTATCAAACAGATACATACTATTGCCAAAGGTATTGGGACACCTGCCTTTACATGCACATGAACTTTAATGGCATCACAGTCTTAGTCCGTAGGGTTCAATATTGAGTTGGCTCCGCCCTTTGCAGCTATAACAGCTTCAACTCTTCTGGGAAGGCGTCCACAAGGTTTAGGAGTGTGTCTATGGGAATGTTTGACCATTCTGCCAGAAGCGCAGTTATTAACAAAATGCTTTCAATGGAATATTGAACAGACCAAACTGGAGCAAATAAGAGAAGTTCATTAGTAGGGATTGCATACAATTTAGGTTAGCTTTGGTAAAGTACTGCCAGATTACAGTGTGACCATGCACTGCAGCTGCTGCAATATGTAGAAGGGAAGCATTTATAGAATTCCTGCTGTTTGGAAATTGGAAAATTGCTGCTCTTCAAACACATGTATATGTACAGTAAAAATGATATAATATATGCATGCACTTAATAAAAGAGAAAGTGCCAGACATCCAGCCTGCACAAGTTTTATGGGTCTCCATTTTCTTATAAAGCTCGGCTGTTTGACTGTTTAGCTGTTTGGAACGATAAAATAATACAACGTGGGGTCAGAATGTAGACCTCTGATCTGCACCTCCAGTATACTGATGTGTTGAAAACTTCCAGACACCCATCTACAGATAATTACACAGAAGCAGCACAGTGGCTTAGTGGTTAACACTTTTGCCTTGCAATACTTGCATCCCTGGTTTGAATCCAGGCCGGGATCTATCTGCATGGAGTTTGCATGTTCTTCCAGTACTTGGGTGGGTTCCCTCTGGTTTCCTCCTACACTCCAGAGACTTGTTATTAGGTTAATTGGCTCCTGTCTAAATCGGCCTTAGCATGTGTATGTATGCATATGAGATAGGGACCATAGATTGTAAGCTCCTTGAGGGCAGGCAGGGCTGTAGCTCCATGGGGCACTTGCCTCAGGCGCAGCCAGGTCCGGCCTGGCTGCGCCCCCTTGCCCCTGATGCCATGGTGAGCACAGGGCGCCATTGGCAACAGCGGCGCCGGGCAGCAAACACAGCCGCGGCTTGGTAGGGAGAAGAGGAGTTGCACGGGCTCCAGCGTCTCCTCGGATCTCCGCTGCTCTCCCCCACCTGTATCTGCAGAGGATTCTGTGTCCTCAATCTCTTTTTATATCTCAAATTGGAAATGTCAGGGGTCTGTTTAGACCTCTGATATTTCCCCAAAGCCCCCGCAACAGTAAAAAAGAAAATAATAAAAAGATAAATAGCATCACACACACACACTCATTACTAGACTCACATATAACTAGACATGTGCAAAGACTAAAAATGTGTTTCTGACAAAATGAATGGAAACTAAAAATGTTTTCATTTGTTTCATCAAACAAAACAAGATTTTATGCTCTTTTGGATTTGGCCACCGGTACTTTCTGCGCATGCGCGCTGCCATCCTGGAGGCGGGGCGCATGACGTCACATACCGCACACGTCTGTTGGGGAGCACATTTTTCTGTTCTTGCCTCGGACGCAAAAGGAGCTAGCTACAGCTAGGGCAGGGAATGATGTGATGTTATAATATATATATGTGAAGCGCTGTGTAAATTGAAGGTGCTATATAAATACATGTAATAAATAAATCAGTCCTAGAATACATTTTAATGCAAACACTTTCATAAAGGCCCATATAACATTAACAATCCTGTCACTGATCTGATACTTAGGGTTCTAGCAATGGAGTTGTCCTACCTTGTTGCTGCAAAGGATAAGTGATGATGCCACATCCCTACCCCTCATTCCCTTCTCTATTTCTTCTAACAAAATACAAGGCATATTGTGAATGAACAAGTAGCGAGGAGGGGCGGGGAATTAGGGGTGCATCCATCGTTCCCAGCAGCACTCAGAATTTATCCAGGCTATATGGGAGATTGCACTTTAGTTACATAACCCAGACCTGTTACTATGGCAAGTTCTTTATTTTGGCATGTTTTATTCATATACCTTTTCTAGGGCCCATCTTAAAATGAGTTTCACCATTTGCACTAGTTCCAAGGATCAATAATTGTCTTTGGATGGTTTCACTGGGGAGTGAACTTAGAACCTTCTGCATGTAAAGCCGATGTAATGCTGCAACTTAGGAATACCCATAACTACATTATTTTTAACCTTTATTAGAAAGCACCAAAATCCAACATTGCATTTAAAGAAGAATCAACCCTTAACCCTTGCAGTGGGGCTAACCCCCACATTGTAAGGGTTAAGTGCTCATTTTTGTCTAGGGTGTAAAATAAAGTTATACCCACCTGAACCTCATAGCTGGCTGTTAAAGTGCTCCCTCCAGGCTGCCTCCTCCTCCACTCCAGCGATGTATGTCCCTTAGCATCCTTACGTCCAATAGACAGTGTATTGGACACGATGACTCAAGAAAACTTAGACCGCTGGAACGGAGGGGGAGAGAGGTTGGAAGGATCATTTTAAGAGCAAGCCGGATCTGAGGTTCAGGTGAGTATAACTTTTTTATTTGACACCCTAGATGAAAATGAGCACTTAACCCTTGCAATGCGGGTTCCCCAATTTTTCCCAGGGTTCTTCTTTAGTCCTCATAATGTATTCAGTTTCAGTTGATAAATACAAGTACTTTATAATCTAAGCATTACAGCATTTCGATCTCCCCTTCTAGGAGGCCCCATATGTGAACAGCCCACTAGCTGTATAAAGAAGTCATCTGATTTACTATATGATGTCAATTAAAATGACCAGCAATTTTACAGGGTTGTTCACAAAGGGGTGAAGAGTTTGGAGAAGGCTGGAGAAGTGAACAATCTAATTCTAGGACAACATAGCTGAACTGGAAAGTGAGCTGAATTGGAGAATTTTCCCAAACCAGCTATGTTGGCCTAGATTGTTCACTTCTCCTGCCTTCTCCAAACTCTTCACCCTTTTGTGAATAACCCTAGAATGCATATCCCCATCAAAAGGTTGTATTGACCAATTCCCTGCCCAATATAGTATACGTTACATGCACAACTTCCCAGAAATAATAAATGACAACATTTGTTGAACAGTCAGCTTCACGGCAAAAATATTCCCTTATCATTGGGAGTCTCAGTTCTTAATATCTACAGTATTCACATTTATGGCATTTGTATGTGTCTCTCATAGTACATGGAAAGTCCATGGTCCCATAGCACCCCTGACCGCCAAATCCCTTTGAAAAGTGGGTGCTGCGGTAGTCAACGGGTGGCATCCGTTATAATCACAAGTAAAGATAAAGACACCGGCACTCCAAATTCATGAGCAAACGTCTATTTATTGACGTCCAGCATAGTAAACAGCAACAAACGTTTCGGGGTCACCAATCACAAACACCTCATGTGGCCACGTGATGTCATCGATGACCTCACACTCCTCCTAGGTGTATATTGTATAGAGCGTTAGGTTGAGTGGCTTCATAAGCTACATAGTTGTAGCATATTGCATATATTACATAGGGTTACCTTGGGTAGGTCATAGGCTGGAAACCAGCTTTCTGTGGAGCATCGGAGTGCCGGTGTCTTTATCTTTACTTCTCATAGTAAATGGATCCCTCCCCTCCCCAAAATGACTTCCAAACAATATAGTTTTTAGGAATTTGCTTTCCTATATGTTATTAAGGGTCTTCCCCCTATAATAGATGATCATTTCTTGTCAGTTTTTAGAATATTCTAATACTTACAAATCATAATTTGTTTTCAATACCCTCTGACCGATTACAAAACATTATATTCATTCTAATCTCTCCTTCTACCTTTCTTTTTTTTCTCCATGAATAGATCTTCTCATTTACTGTCTTTAGTCCTTCTATACCGTTTTGAAGTACTTTCTTAGTATAACCTTGTTTACTTTATTCTTTCCCTCAATTGTTTTGCATCATCCTTAAATTCTCTTTCAACTGAGCAGTTCCTTTGTAACCTTCAAGTAATGGTCTACTGGTAATCCATTTAGGATATACACTCTTTGGCCACTTTATTAGTGACACCTGGCTATAACTGAGTAGGACCCCTTTTCTGCATGGCAGAGATTCAACAAGGTGCTGGAAACATTTCTTAGAGAGTTTGGTCCATGTGTTGAGAGCTGGAAGTGACATCAGAGGAAGGGGCGGCTCTAAGGGGAGAGCACCTGGGACAGTACTGGGAGTAGGATGTAGATTGTGTTTCCCCACATGTTAAGCTCTGAAATAAATACCAGTTGAAATCAGCTCACCGTGTTACATGCATCTCATGACAGTGTATACTGACATGATGGCAGATTTGACGGCTTCACATCCATGATTCGAATCTCCCGTTCCACCACATCCCAAATTTGCTCTATTGGGTTGAGATTTGGTGACTATGTACTTTGGGCGCTGTCTACGTGCCCTTAATATGTTGCTACTTGCGGTCTCCATTTCAAAACTATTTAGTTGTTAAGTACCTTTTAACATTTATACCTAGGGCTGAATACAAAAATGTTATATTGAATACAAGCCACATATCTGTGTGCAGGCCACAAACCATATTTGTTGTGCCAATTGGCACTGCCGTCAGTGTTGATGACATCGTAGTGGAGCTAAATGATTTGCTCACATATCCGAAGCTAATGAAAATATAGGTTAACTTATAACTTAATGAGTACCGTGGTGATGATCTTAGAGGTAGAAATATATTTATACTTCCGGCTCCACTAGGCCAATGGTCTTGTGCCATCCACCTCCTACCCCAGTTGAATGTTTAGCCCTGGGATCAACCTAATAAGATCAGATGTCATAGGCTCAAAATCCAGATTGAGGCTGGGGGTGGAAATGGTGAAACAGACATTTTACCATCTCTTCATCACTACATACAGAAGCAATGGCTAGTTTGGTAGTGTAGCGCTACCACCGAAGGAGACGCAGAATGCCCGGTTCATCTCTAGTCTGTCTAGGCTATGATCTTCAGCTGCCCACCCATTAGCATTAACCACCCTTTGTCTAGCGCCCACAATAGCTGATGTCCCCTCCAGAAGTATAATGCTTAATAACTTTTATTGAACATCTTCACTGGGGAGAGAGGGTATAGGGATTATAGGCTTCCAGGGTGTAACAAACATAAGCTCCAGACTCACCAGACCTGGTTGGCATATCAGTGTAAATCCACTTGGGAGGCAGCGGATAGCAACTGAAATAACAGATGAGCAAGGATGAATATAGATCCTCAACAGGAAAGACAACGGCAATGCTCCTGAAGTCCTCAGGTTCCAGGAAGCTTCAAGAGCCATCATCGGTCCTGGGTCTCTTCCTCTGACAGCAACACAGGCTTCCTCCATGTTGGAGGCCTCAGGGAAACATTTCCCTCACATCAGCCTATGCCCACCCCCAGGCCTAGCCTGGGGGGCAGGCTGAACAGCACCCAGCCCTAATCCATGGCTGGTCCCGGCTAGTCTGAGCACATGACAAATCGCTCCAGTATATGTACCCTATCCCAGCATGCACCACTGGTTGAGAGAAACCCAGTGATTGGCTGCGGTACTGTACATACAGTACAGTGCCTCTCATTGGCTGTCCCACAATATGACAGAGTCACACTCCGCCCAGGGGGGTACAGGCAATGCCAGACACCTGAAATCAACCAGATAACTGCCACTATAATTCCAGCAAGGCTAACTATAGCCCCGGCTATCACTAAATGACTAGTAGCCACATCACAGAAGGTGATGGTGGCTACAGTAGTTTGAGTAGTTTGGTTCTAGGTGTATTTAGTCAGAGTTGGTGAACCTGAGAACAATATTCCACCAACAAAAATGTGCACACTGTGCTGGGAAAGCAACACTAACTGGCAGTATTGCTCTAGCAGGCGGCAGTCTGGAACTTTTATTATACATGACGATGTGTTATAGTGAGCAACATGACCTGTGGGTGGCAGTGTGCCATCCCCTGGCAGCCCCGCTACCCTAAGCCACAGTCTGTGTTGGCTGTGCAAAATTTTGGCCCTGAGTACAAGGCCTGGGCATGTGGGCTCAGACTCTGTATTGGAAAGTACTTTGGATCCAGTAATGCAATCATACGTTTTAAGTTAGCTATATACCATGGAGCACTGTCTCAGCCCTACAACACAAAAAATCTTACTGGTAGACATTGGTCATTTGAACTTTAAAAAGAAATGTTTGGTCTTTAGCAATCCAATTTTTTAAATACACATGTAAAATAAATCTGCGTGGTGTACATAATCTTATAAACACATGTGTATGTTTCATTATACAGCAATGCAGAATAATACCATCAGCTATAGAGGACTACAAATCTCAGCAATACATTTTACAGCAATGCAGAATAATACCATCAGCTATAGAGGACTGCGAATTTCAGCAATACACTAAATAGCAATGCAGAACAATAGTATTATTCTGCATTGCTGTATAAAGTATTACTGGGATTTGTAAGAAGCCAGAGTTCAAGCATGAAAGCCAGGAAACTAGCCTGTTCAGAAGGAGGTCAACAATTGAAAAATACTATATATGTTCTGTTCATGATAGTTATCTTCCCAGTTATTTTTCTCTGGCAGGTTCCCTTTATATAGGACATTTCCACTTCCATAGCACATTCTTCACATCTGCAACCACAGCATGGTTTCCTTCAATACCAACCAGCCACATGTCATTGTTGAGGATAATTCAGGTAGAAGTTTTGTTATACGCTGTATCACATGGTGGTGGCTCTGAACACTGGAACATGTTTTTTAAGTGGGTGTTTAGAAGTAGAAGAAGAGGGGCCTTGATTAAACATGGGGAAAGAGCAGACAGGAAATGTCTCATTCCTCAATCTTGATACATCTAAGACACCAAAAAGCCTTGTGCAGACCCCCTGCACTAACAGAAGTGGAGCAGAACCGTTCTATGTTATTTATAGCTTGTGGAGAATGTATGGCGTCCATGTGTCCTGGGATGGGAGAAAGGTTTGAATTCTGATATATCAGGCATGTCAAACCGGTGTTTTTGTGGGCCACATGGGGCCTTTTCAAGGCTTCCTTGCGGCCCTCAGCTAGTTGAATGAGACCCCAGATGGTATCCAGTTGATAAGGTGCACTTCTTTCCTGCGATTAAACACTGAATGAAATGTTTTGGATGGGATTTTGTTGGCTTCAAGCAGGTTTTGCATTCCTTTACAGGTCTATGGGAATGTAAAACCTACTTGAAGAAGGTTAAAGGTTTAGTATGCGTTTTCTGAAAAGGTGAACTAGATCACCCACATCCCGGTACCTGCTTCATGTATCTGCAATGATGTCCATCACCCGCCACCCACACCAGCACGTCGTTTAGCGGTCCCTTGAAGATTTCACTGCATAATGCTTGCAATGGGGAGCAGTAGACATGTAAGCTGCAGAAAAATTCAGTTCGGTTTGGATAATTTGTTATTTCGGGGTTCGGATCTGTGACGGACCCCCGTACTCAGGATGAGTATGTCCGCCGCTGTCTTCTTCCTTGCTGAGGAGATATTGGAACCTGAAGATCCTTAGCTCCCAGTTTCCCCAGTCACTAGCCAAGGCTCGAGTGTAGGTGAAACAAACTCTGGTTTATTGAGAAACATTTAACTTATAAACTCATCACCATGTCGTCACAGGATCCAAAATTCAATTCGATCCGGATTCAAACTAAACCCAAATTTTATTTGTTTCGAATACCACAGAAAACCATATACAGATATTAATACTAAAGCTGAAGCCCTTATATCCGAATGGCATCGGGATCCAAATTTTCGAATTGCAATTGAGAGCTCCCAAATGCCATATGGGTCTGGGAGCCTCAGCTTTAGTAATATATGTATATGGCTCCCAGACCCGAATGGCATTTGGGATCCAAATTGCATTCGGGAGTTCTCAAATGCCATTCGGGTCATATACAGTATGTATATGGCTCCCAGACCCGAATGGCATTTGGAAGCTCCCAAATGCACTTCGGAAATTCGGATCCCAAATGCCATTCGAGTCTTGGAGCCATATACATATATTACTAAAGCTGAGGCTCCCAGACCCGAATGGCATTCGGAAGCTCCCAAATGCAATTCGGAAATTCGGATCCCGTTTGCCATTCTGGTCTGGGAGCCTCAGCTTTAGTATTAAATGTATAAACTGTGTATGGCTCCCATGTTGCTGTAACGAAAATTTGCGTTCAAACACATTCGGATGCATTAAACCGAAAAAGACATCTGATTGGCCAGAAAAGTCACATGTCCGATTCTGTTTAGTTTTGGTACGAAATTCATACAGGATCCGAAATTCGGACACGGAAATTCGGATTCTAACACATTCGGATGCATTGGGATTTGGAAATTCGTAACGAAACGAATCGCACATGTCTAGGGAGCAGTCATTGGTCTCAGTGTGGCCACATGACTGCACTGACTAATGATAATCTCTTCTGAGTCTTCTTTCGTTTCTTATTCTGTCTTAGTGTGTGTGAGCTTTGTTGTGACTGGGCTCAATTTGATACAATTTTATCATTGTTATCCATTTTTAACTCCATTATATGTATTTTATGAGTCCCCACTGGTACCTTTAAAGTCCTCTAATCTTCTCTTTACCTGTTTTGCATATAGCTGGGATGCTGGTACCCATATACATATAGAATCAATGGCCTTACACCCATATGCGCTCTTTACTGTAACCAATTAGAACTAAACTTCAGTCATCTGACAACCGAATTTGGAAATCCAGTTGCTATGCATTACAGCATTTTGCACACCATCGTCCTCCTCATCATTATCATCAATGAACATCTTTAATGTGCTCCCTTTGGTCTGTTAACTATACCATGAAAGTGTTTGTTATATCTGGATGATAAGTGCAAAAAAAATCTGCTGATTCTTCCAGAAATCAAGTACCCTCTTGTGCACTCCACAGCCTTCTCAGGCCCATCTAGTGGCCATAATGCGGTATTACATTTACAACACATTCGACCTGAAATGAAAATATACAAGAAAATCTACAACCTATGCTTCTCTCGAACAGAACGAACATTCACAGAGGTTTGCAGAGTGAATGCAAATTGTTTATACATAGGCCCCTTTACGTCACCCCATTTGAAAATTGTTTCATCAGCCAAAATATATGATGTGAAGTTAGCACATAGCAGCCAATCAGATTTCATTATTTTCCCCAGATTATAGTAGTCAGAACAAGGACGGCTGGTTTCTTGTTGCAGTTTTATTCTTATAATAATAATGATTGATGAGTTGTCTAACGAATGTTAATATTTTGTGTTGCAGGGGGATATGTGGAGCATCTTCCTGAACCGGAGGAACCGGACAGAGAGGATATGACTGGGCTCAATTTGATACAATTTTATCATTGTTATCCATTTTTAACTCCATTATATGTATTTTATGAGTCCCCACTGGTACCTTTAAAGTCCTCTAATCTTCTCTTTACCTGTTTTGCATATAGCTGGTGAGTGACCAGTTCTCCTTTATTCGTACAACCATCCCCACTCCACGAGACCGCTATGGGAGTAGGAAACAGTATACAGAGAATAAATCAGGCCACAAAGGCCCCTCTGTCTGGCTGCCTAATGATTTATCCAGACATGGAAAACATTAGCACGAAAATTAGTATAACGTTACTGAATGTACTATATAGTTCAGACACATGCTGGATCGCTATGATTCAACTCAGTATGCAGGGGTGTAACAACACATCATGAGGCCCCATAGCAAAATTTCAATGGGCTAACCCCCTGGCTCGACCTCCCTACTGTCATTGATCTTAAAGTGACTTTAAACCCTCAGATTTTTTATCATAAACCAATACTGTAATGTGTGCCTTACTGTAATCCATGGTTGTTTCCCTTCTCTTTGAGCAAAATTTCAATGGGCTAACCCCCTGGCTTGACCTCCCTACTGTCATTGATCTTAAAGTGACTTTAAACCCTCAGATTTTGTTATCATAAACCAATACTGTAATGTGTGCCTTACTGTAATCCATGGTTGTTTCCCTTCTCTTTGCTGCTCTTCCTTTTAAATCCTCATGTCTTCTCATGCTTGGGGAGAACTTCCCTTTTCAGCTCAGTGCCTCTTCCTGTAGTGCTGGCTCAGATTACAAGTCTATACAAACGGATACACAGACACCGTGTATCCATTACTGAGACAAGGCAGTCTGCTGCAAAACAGAAGTTCTGCAGAACATGAGAACAGATACAGATTTAAAAGGAAGAGCAGCAAAGAGAAGGAAAACAACCATGGATTACAGTAAGGCACACATTACAGTATTGTTTTATGTTAAAAAATCTGAGGGTTTAATGTCACTTTAACATGAAGTATGTCTAAATCAAGGGCAGGTAGATGGAGAGCTGCCAGCATAGTCAGTACATTACAGAGTTATGGATGGAAAATGTCAGGGAATGGAGGGGCATCAGTGCAGGGAATTAACAGTTAGCTCCCCAGTCTTTTTTAGATCTCAGGACCTTAGTGTAAATTCTAAGTCCTCCCACCCCTTGGAGGTCTAGTAGTCAGTAAAAAGGAAGCAGTTGTAATTGCAACAATAATGACCATCACAATATGTTCTATTATGACATTGTTAGCACTCTTGCACACAATTACTTTATAAGCCAAATAAAAACTTCTTTTAATTTAGCACACTGAGATTTTTTTACAGCCTGAGGAAGACTGTGTTAGACATGCAGGGTTAGTTTTAGTGCTGGTCGGGATGGCAAAAAGCTCTGATGGCAATAAATCTAAACTGCTGAGACAGCTACGAAAATTCTCCTTACTGTAGAGCCGTCAAAGGGGGATCTGTGACTAGTGGCAATGATTCTGAAGTCTCTTCCTCTGTGCCTGATGTCCACTCTTCTTAATTTTAAATGTTACAAATGTCACATGGTCAGTGTCTACAACTTTTGCAACCATAATGATACAGTACTGGATTTGTGTTATTTTTACATACACATGGATTTTCTATGCTTGAATTGCACCAATAAACCCCTAATGGGGGCTCCCTTCCACCCCCAGGGCCAGTTGCAGCCACTTGGCTATTGTTACACCACTGTTATTGTGGGGTACAATTTTCATCCAAGAGTCCAAGGTGTCTATAGAAATGAGAAGATGATTGCTCGATCCAGCTGATTCAGCCAGGTTGGACATTGATATTAACGTCTGTCGCCATTTTCAGACGTGAGCAGTCACTTCTGCCTGATCTCCAAATATCAATCTACCAGGTGCGGTTTTCCTAACTGCAATATTTTCCAGACGGGATTAGGATGGTGCTTTCATTAAATAAACACCAAGGACTGTGCATTATGAGTATGCATGTTACAGCAAACATTACGGGAAGAAAAGATCATTTAGCATACATAATCCAATCACCATTTTAATGTCTATGGTCAGTTAAAAGGAAACCTGTGCTGAGACTAACATGGAGATTGCCATTGATGACCTCCACTAGGATATCTTAAGTCAGATGCTTCTATTTTCTTTGTTCAACCTGCTGGCTGCTTCCTTTGTATTCTGACAGCGGCCGCTGGCTCATTGTTGGCTAGCTCTTTTTGGCTAACAATTTTCCGTCATGCTCCTTCGATCATCTGCTAGAGGGATGCCAGTTGGAAAGGTGCCAACAGCGACACCAGCCGAAATTCAAAACCTGTATACCCGGGCCCGGCTTTAGTTGACTGGCCAAATGTTTGGAGCTAGCAACAATTTTTCTGTAAAGGACAGCTGTTCCTTTGGTACAAGGTATTCTTTAATGAATGCAGCCCCCTTTCCCCTGCTAAGTGCAGCCCACCTAGTCCAACACACTCACCTTCGTCCTCAATCCAGTTCATTTCTTGGTGGCCCAATTGTACACTGCAATGCCTTGCTTTCTTAACTTGTCCTCGCTGGGTCCTCTTTAGCCTGTACATGTGCACCATGGCCACATTCATTCCTCATGGTGGCCTTCAGCGGTCCTGCAGAGTAGAGCTTTCTCCATAGGATTGAATAGGGCTGCGGCCACATGTGAAGAGGGCCCAGTGGGGCCACACTGGATCGAGGATGAAGGTAAATTTCAGACCATGTGGGCTGCAGTTAGTGAAGGTGGGCTGCATTCATTAAACGCAACTTGTACTAAAAGTACAGTACATGCATGCATGCATACAGAATGTCAAAGCTGATCATGTTTTATTATTCTTTTATGTGTTGACTATTTTAATCTTAAAATATAGATTGGCTTAGTTCTTAAAGTACACTTGTCATAAATAAGGACACTGCCATTGCTTGCCTCCTTCTGCAAATGCTAATTGCCTGGCTTTGTCTTACTTTAATACTTTTAAGTTAAAGACTCTCAACAAGCTTGCAGGCAAGTATTTACTGCTCTGAAGCTTGTGGGGCAGCAGGTCATTTTGAAAAGAAGGTTCTGCCAAAATATACTGCATTCTCATATGACAGAAATTTAGCATCACCAGTTGTCCCATCCTCCCCTCACACTGACCTGGTCACCTCCAAAGTCTTGCTCTGCCCAAACTCTCCATACTACTACTACAGCATAGTTGAACCAGCTCTTCATCCAATGGCCAAACAATTTAGTAGGTTGGTGAAGCTTGCAGTGTAGAGCACCTAAGTCAGATCATTGTATACTGGACTAGTATAGTAATCAGTATGGCCCCATTAAGCTGCTCTGTCTGGACATCCATATGCTAGAAGAATTTAGAACTATGGTAAAAACATGAGAGAATACAGGCACATGAAATGACCCGATGTCAACCAACCACTTTTAATACCCTTGTATAATATGTGGCTTTGTTGTATGTTTTTGTGTTGTAGAATATCGTGGAATATTTCTGCATTACTCATTTTATGATACTGGCAGCTGTTCCGAGTTCTTAGTTTTCCCACTTCTCAACTAGAAAGAGACCAGTGCCTCCTCCTACTGCTGATCAACAGGGATCTTCCTGATGAGCTAAGCAGTCTTCAAAGCTACTACTGTGCTTGGAGCTTTTCAGCCTTTTCCCCACATGACACAGCCCAGCCTCAGACACTCATGTGCTTCTCAAGATTTCCATAACCAGGCTGTATGAGCCAGTAAAGACTTCACAGCTCCAAGCTCAAATGTAGAGAGCTTCTTAGCAGCTCATTCCAGTCAGTTGATTGATCAGGGTAAAATCAGAAAAATTACAACTTTGGAAGAACACTGAACACAGATAATCCACATATAATCTGGGCAAAAATCTTTATATGAAGCACCTAGAAGAATTAAGACTCGGGTGGATGTTTCAAATGGGCAAAACTACCCAAAATTGAAATATCAGGCTTGCTTCTGTAAACTCATTGTGTTGATCGTGCTTTGAATTAAATAATGTAAGGGAATTGATACCTAGCATTGAGAACCTAATGTTATATCCATCCACTGATCCCCTCCACTGCCAGCCCTACTATCCATGGGCATTGGATTTTGATGTCAACTGCACAGATTTCACTGGAGAGCCTCTAAAATCTAGGCAGATAAAAACTTATGACCATCTAAGGGGCAATTAATATAATTTTACATTTACGTAACTCTTCATCTTTCACACAACAGCCATTATTTCAATGATAAAGGCCTAATGCCAGCAACAAAGCTCTCACTATTGGAATCATTATGCATGCTTGGTACAATCACACCTGTGTCAGAAGCCTCAAGTGAAAACAGTCATACGTTGACTCCCAGTCTGCAGGACACTAACTGAGTGACAAGGAGCCCAGAAGTCAAAGAATGGCCACTTCCATCTGGGGCTTCTAACAGAGAATCCTGCCAAGAAAGCCACTACAAAGTTTTGACCATAAGCAACAGTGCATGCTAGTGGCCTGATGGTAATGGTGATCTCATGTTTATTGGAGACCTCCAACCCCTCGAGCTGGCCACTGTCAGGGAGTATGAGCCACTGGATTGTTGAGGAATATCTGTCTCAATTACAACTGTCCTCCACTGATCAGCCAGCACCAGCCTCCGGCTCCCTGTGCCTCTCATCACCTTTCAAGATGTAAGTGCTGCCGAGCCAATCTTACAAGTTTATAGAGTGCTCTGTAGACAGACAATATGTTTATGCCCTTTTATGTTTAAAATTCATTAAAGAAATGTGTACATATGGTTGATCATTGTATAATTATGGTTGAAAACGTGTTTAGCATATTAATTCTGAGGCTGACACTTTCTCCACAGCACATTGAAGAGAACAATAAACCATTCGTATTATACTATCTTCCTTGTAGAAGCTCATAGTCTATTACCCCACCATAGGCAAACATGTGTTAGCTTGCAAACCAGTTATCTAGTCTTGTAGATGTCTCGAAATCATTGGTGGGAAAGGGCGCACCATGTATTTAATTGATGCTAGTGGTGTAATCTTATTACCAAAACACACTGGGGGACCTGTATCCCCCTAAATGACCCAATTCATACTGACTGACTGTACTTTCTACTACAGGTGTGGAAGAGGAGCCCCCAACTGAAGATTACAATGAGCGTCTGGAGAGAGAAGATTATGATGACTGTAAGAACCCAACTGCTTTATTCTTCTTCTGCTTTAAACCTTTTCACATTTGCCATTTTAAATGTTACAATAACAGGAACGTGCACAATGGGGTGCAAAAACCTTTGGCAGCCAATCAGTAAATAACTTTCAACATTAATGGATAGCAATTAGGATTGACTGCAATAGGTGAAGATTTGCCACGCCAACCTTTAGTGACCAATGGACTTAGATCTCCCCCCTAATTTGTAGCGCATGTAATCACCAAAGCATATAAGTGGATTTTATATGTTTTATATGTTTAAATTACATATTAACATGTGCATAATCATTGCCTGTAGTTAAGTTATATTGAGGTGCAGTGTAGAATTCTGTTATATTCATGTCTGTGGGTCAGGTCTTGAAAGAATCTGAAGGGTGCTATGTAGTGGGTGTTACAGATCTATATTATGATTATGTCCATGGATCAAGTAATGATGGATGTTGTACACTAGTACACTATGTGTGTACGGAGTGTACTACAAATCTGTTGTGCTGTGCTCGGGTCATGATGTGAATGTGTAGTATACTAAGTCTGTATAGAGCAGGGGTGGGGAACCTCCAGCTGTGGTGGAACTACAAATCTCATGAGGTATTGCAAGATTCTCACAGCCACAAGCATGACTCCTAGAGACAGATGCATCAAAGGTTTTGTAGTTTCACCACAGCTGTAGGGCCGGAGGTTCCCCACCACTGGTATAGCATGTAGAAGAACTGTATTGTGATTATAGGTCCAGTGGTCATATCCATTAACAAGAAGTGTGGCTGTACTATATATTCTAATATGACCATGTCAGGAGTCAGGTCATGATGGAAAATGAAGTGTATATTGTCTATACAGAATTTGATAGAACTCTATTATAATGATGTGTCAAGCAGTCAGGGTCATATGAAATGTTGTTTTACCATGTATAGCATTTAATATAATTCAGATGATTTATCCATTAGTTATAGAAGGTTGATAGAAGGTTGGCAGTACTATTTTAGAGTGTAATATAATTCTAGTATGATGTCAGGGGTCAGGTCATGAAGAGTGGTAAAGTGCACTATGCCCATATGGAGTGTAATATGATGTCCAATATATCACATACAGTGATAGAAGGTGTGGTGTACCCTATAGAAATTTATAGAAGTCTATTAGGATGATATATCCAGCAGTCAGGTCCCAATATGAGGTACAATTGTATTATGTATATAGTGTAATAGAATTTTAGTATATGTTCAATAGTCGGGTCTCAACAGGAGGTGCAGTTGTACTATGTATGGAGTATAATAGAATTCTAATATTACCATGTTAGGAATCAGGTCATGATGGGAGGTGTAGCATACGATATCTATATACAGTGTAATAGAATTGTATTATATAGAGCAGTGGTTCTCCCCCTGTGTAACCTCAGGACCCACATTCGTCCTTGGTCATTAAGTCATGACCCGAGTCACACTGCACTAGAAAGCATGGCATTGCGGTACCGCACCGGTCCGGGCGAACAAACTGTGGGTGCGAGGTGCATTTGGGGTGCCATTCCAACGAATGGCAATGCAACACACCTTCCACACGAGAATTCACGTTAGGTGCGATTTTGCGTGGTATATTGCATTAATCGCATGGGACTGTGCGATCAACTCACTGTACTAGTGTGAACGGGCACCTTAAAAACACTAACAGACACACACAGCCACAGACACAATCTCACTCACACACACACACACTCCAAAAACAAATATTTTTTTTTCTTTTTTCTAAGATTCACCCAGTCTCCCTATCTTACGAGAACTCCTCTATAGGACACATGAGGGAGCTGTAAGCCATGCACGTATGAATGGAGCTCCCTCACGGCCATAGCCCCATCTCATCCCACCTCAAGCTGACACTCGGCGGCGTGCAGCATATTATGAATGGCTGCTCGGCGTGAGAACTGACATTGCTGCGCTAGAGGGGGCTGCAGATCCTCTCACCTAGAAAAGTGGAAGGCATGCAGTAACCCACTGAGCACGTTGTCACAACCCACTTTTGGGTCACGACCCCCCAGTTGAGAACCGAGGTTATAGGGTGTAATACAATTGTATTATGATAATGTGTCCTACTAGTCAGGTCTCCATAGGAGGTACATTTGTACTAAGTACAGAGTGCAATAGAATTCTAATATGACCATGTTAAAGGAGAACTATGGGGTTAAGGCTTTTCCCCATAGTTCTCCTTAGGGTAACGGAAGGGCACAAACTAGCGTCCTCCCGTCACCCTAGGCTCAGTATACCGCGAGCTGTAGCCCGCGGTATACTGAGACGTCGCAGCTGAAGCGGATCCCGACAATTGTGCCGGGATCCGCCCAGCTGCGTGACTGACAGCTGGCTCTGCCTATCTAGAGGCAGAGCCAGCTGTACCCGCCCCCTCCCCTGTCCGATCCACCAGTCAGAGTTGGCGGATCGAAGCGGGGAGGGGGGAATCCAACCCCTCCCCTGTCACGGCAGAGAGCCGTGACAGGATCGAGAGGTGAGCGAACGCCGGTATGTGTTCTCTCACCTCCCGATCTACTGAGCCGACCTGTGACAGTCTCATTGTCACAGGTCGGCTAGAACTATGAGGTGAGTGAAAAGCACTCACCTCATAGTTCTCCTTTAAGCCTCGGGATTTCATGGTAAGCAATGTCGATGCATCTTAATAAAATGTAACAGAATTGTGTTACAGTTGTGTCCAGTATTCAGGATGTTTACACTTAAATCCTTTTTCTATCAATTCATTTTCCTTTATTTTGTTGCCCTTTTACTGCCATTTGATTCCGCAATTTTACAATAAATCTCCTCATACACTATATTTTTCCTATGCAGATGGCTACAGCAAACAACCAAAGAAGCCTGCGGTGCCGGAACGTAAACCTGATCGTCCAGTTGTGTATGTGAAACCTACACCCAGTGAGTACTGTCCCCTTATGCGCAGCTTTACACAACTGTAGCATTCAGAATCCCATTCTATTACTAATCTAAACCCAATACTCTAAGAATTACACCATGTCTATAGCCATCCTCACAAACCTTATGAACGTCTGTTGGCTCCTCCAAACGATTCTAACAACTACTGTCAGATCACTCTCAGAACTATAGTCAAATCTCATAAAACAAAGTGAGAACTGGTAAGACAAAGCATATTAGAAGCACTGTGACAGCTATTAAAGGAAACATATGGAGGTTGCCATTACTGACCTTTGCTCACAAAACTTAGCAGGCCTCAACCAGCACCATCCGGTCTCTGGATGCTAATGCCATTGTAAGGCTCAGCCAGACTCTCCACTTGCGCGGTCCATTAAAAGCAAGCCTGGCTGCACACCACGTTACCAACATTTCAATAATCTTTATTGATCCAGACAAATAGACTAATGATCCTCCTATGTGACTCATCTAGATGCCCATACTCCCTGATGTGTTTCAGCGGCCTCGTGGGCTTAATCATGTAGCTCAATTATTAATCCCAGGATGTGGCATAAATGAAGTGTGATGATCCAGACAGGGGTTATTTGGTCTCTTTGTCTGAATAAATAAAGATTTTTGAAACACCAGTAACATGATGTGCCGCTGGGTTTCTTTTCAAGCCATTGCTGACCTCCTTCTTAAATACTAGTTGGCTTCAACACGTTGAAACATTGGAGATAGCTCCTAATGTTCATACTGGTTCTGGGTCAGTGACAGCCAGGGGACTAGTGCAGTGGCACCCTCCAAACTTTCTAAATAAAGGGTTACTTACAAGAGGGAGAAACATTGTCTACCCTCATGATTCATGTTGAGAACTGCTTTCCATATTACTCATAAGAGCCGCTGCCAGACAATACCATGAATGAATCTCAGGCCTTACAACCTAGAATGTGAAAAAGCATTTTTACTCATTTTATATGAAAGGGTCAGTTTGCCTAAATGTGGAATTTTATGTAAAGATGGAACCTGATGGGAGAAGTTTGTCTGGGGTTTCTTCTATGTGGATACTCAAGCAGCAACATCTCCCTGACGTAATTCCCATCTGTTCCCATCCAGCTGGGAGTTTTGGGTGTTCAGGCCAACCAATGGTTGTTCAAACTCCTCCTGTTACATTCTTCATAAGAAAAAATTAAATCATAAAAAAATCCAACAGTGAGAGTCAGAAACCCTCATAATGGCCAAGAAGGGTATGCAGACCTGCGTATCCAAACACAAAGATTTTGCTAAAGAAGACATTATAGTTACAATACAATTCAAGACAAGATTGTAAGGAGGGTCATGCTCATGAGAGCTTACAATCTAAAAGGGAGGGGGAAGTGATACATGAGGAGGTAGCTATGTGGGCATGAATTGTTTGAGAAAGTTATAGTTCAGCAGTTAGGCAGAGGTGGGATAGGCTTCCCTGAAGATATGAGCATTCAGGGAACGCCTTAGGGCAGACAGAGTAGGAGATAGACGGACAGGTTGGGGTAGAGAGTTTCAGAGGATGGGAGAGACTCTAGTGAAGTCCTGGAGGGGAGCATGGGAGGAGTTGACGAGAGAGCTAGAGAGCAGGAGATCTTGGGAAGAGCAGAAAGGACGGTTAGGGTGATACTTTGAGATGAAGTTGGAGATATAGCCAGGATGGCTATATAGGTGGTTGTTAATATTTTGAATCACCTTTGGGTGATTGGAAGCCAGTGGAGGGATTGACAGAGGGGGGTTACTGACACTGAGCAGTTAGTTAGGTTGATGAGTCTAGCAGCAACATTCATGCTACACTGAAGGGGGAATAGCCTGTGTAGAGGTCGGCCAATGAGGAGGGAGTTGAAATTGTCAGGACGAGAGACAACAAGTAAGTGGATGAGTAGTTTTGTGGATTCATTGGTTAGGATGATGAAAAGAGATGGAAAGTTGTTTTAATGCTTCACAGCAAGAAAGGGTCCTTCTTTACAGCATCCTGGTAGGGGACAGGATTTTCTCCTCTGGATGTGGCTGCTTTCTAAAGAAAAATAACTTCAAGACCCTGAACATCTCTTCTGTACATGCACCTGGAATGCATTTTATAGCTGATTTATGGCCCAGAAGAAAGTCTCTTTGCAGCCAGTTCACTTTATCTAGCAAATGGTTCTGTAAATAAATTGCCTGTATTCCTCCTAAGTAGGAAGCTAATAATTCTGATCATTTTGTGAAGTAGTTATGTAGTACATGTTGTCTATCACACTAATTCTTATTAAGTTGAATAGAAGAAGCATAGTAAATGTCTCTGCAGAAGCTACACTTAGTAAAAACGGCCCTAAAAATGCGAATAGCTAAAATTAGCCATCCCTCCTCTAATACGGTGTGACCTGGCTGTGGTGGAGTTAAGAGACTTTCTGCTGCACTATGCAGAGATGCAGCCAAAAGAAATATATAACTGAGATGCTGGCTTCTTGTTCTCATTATGATGGAGTTGATAAAGTTTATTAAAAATCTTTATGGAATGTTACAGTATTTTAAGTATCAATTGATTTGTTTACATGGGTGTCAGCTGGACTGAAGAGGTTCTATGTGTCATCAATCTAATTCACACATATGACTTTTTGTTCCATTTCCACTTGCCAAAATAAACCCCTTAGCTCATAAGTTAGAAAGACTTTCCACTCCTCAACTGCTGTCTGAGGCTGGATTGTCTCTGGACACAAAATCTAAACATATTCATCAAACATGACTACAGCTATTGTAGGCCATGCAGTTTGTAGGGAGCCCAGCAGGATAGTGGTCCAATATCGTAGGCGCTGTCGATATTCATTTTTTGAGGAGGAATGTTTGGCAAATATCTTGATAGTAAGTTATCTGCCGGAATGTTATGGAAATCTGCATTGGTTGGTTTTTCCTATGGTGCAAATCTTTGTATTGAGATTAACTTTAACTCTTTTATCAAAGTTGAATCTACTCTAGTCATAAACCTTTGTAGCCACCCTGCCCTAAGCAGGAGTGTTACATTTTGAAGTTACGAGGCTGTGGTCAGCCTAGGAATGATTGATAGTTCTAGTTTCTGGAGTTTCTTATAAGCTCTGCTGATTGTTTTCTTCTGTGTGCTGCTGAAGAGTATTCTTGGCACTAGTATGGGAGTCTGCACTAATCAGAGTTGGGACTGTTTTACCTCCCTGACCAGCTACTAGGAGGTTTACTGTCAGTGGTCCAGACTAAAGTGGGGATACATTTTCAGGAGTGGCCTTGAGAAGTCAGTCTTCGCCCCAAGCCTCCAGCCTTGGGGAGAATTGCAGTTGTATGTTTGACTGTCCTAGCATTGGTGCCTGAGGAGGGTGATAATGTGCATAGACAGATGCCTGGGTTTGAGACTCGCTATGTTAAGCTACCTTGGAGGAATGAGGGACCTGAAAAGCTGGGCAGAAGCTTGGCTCTCCCAGGAGTCAGTAGTTAAACCTTTGAGCATCTTAGAGAAAGAAGCAGATTTCATAGGGGCCAGGTCAGTTTAAATGTTCTCTATCTGTGAAGGCTGTAAGTACGTTTTGTCTCTTTTTTCTGGAGTCTGCCAAGTGCATAGCTGTTCTTTGCTCTAACCCTCTCTCCCAGAAGAATTGCATCTAAAAGTGACTACTGCCCATCTGTTTACATTGCTCCACTATTGCCAAGGACCAGACCCTGAGGTAAAATACTAGCCCACCCCACCTCTAGGGTCCCTCATATGACCTTAGGGTGAGGGGGATGTTACTTTTTGAAAAATGTTGTTCCCCTTTAGGTGTCCTTATTCTGTCTAAAGAAAATGCAAAATCCTGGAAATCTAAGGTAACTATCGAGGCTGCCTTGTTGACTGTCTGTCCTCATGCTGATAAAACACATTTGCAATTGAGAAAAGCATTTTCAATACTTTTTTTACATTAATGGTGTCTTAGAAAGTCCTGCCCCAAATTCATAAAAGCAGTGTGACAGTTTTAATGCTATCACTGACACACACAAAAAAATCAACAAGTAATTTGTTCTGATTCTGGTGCATCCCTGTGTCCAATTCATATACGTGTTTCTGACTTGCAGTCGAATGTGTCACACTCACCGGCGTTTATGGTATGGTGGCACAGACACTCTTCTAAAATGTGTCTGCATCACTCTTCATGGATTCCAGGGACTCTGGGTGTGCATAACCATGTTATATAGACAAGGGCCTAATAGTGAAGCATGTAGTGCACCGCTGTAAAACATAGAGATAGTAGAAGCTTTATAGTAATATGGACCTATAAATAATCAGCAATGTCCTGGATGAGGAGATGGTAGAGCTCTCTTCTCTATTAGGCTTTCTTCTCCTCTCCAACAGTGCTCTGCTGTTCCAGCTGCTGGCTTGCAGGAATAGTGAAAGCCAATGGAACAAAGCCCCTGGCAGCATGAAGACCCAGCAATAAACTAGCTGAAGGCTCTGGATAAAAGATGAGGAGTTTCCAGCTATGCCCATAAAAGATTTCTGTAATTAAGAGCAGTATACTCAATTACAGGGCTCTGTGTTTCATACTGCTATAGATACTTAGCAGCTGGAAAACAGAATGTGCTATCAGCATGAGTTACAATAGCTGACAGGGAAGCAACTGTCAGATCTCACAGGGGGCCTCTCACCTCTTGTTCTTAGCTCCAAGAGTCAATCCCCAGACAAACCAAAGAAAGATGACTAAAGGGGTCAGTAAAAATCTTTCATAACTAGGCATGCAGAATTCTAAGAAGACTAAACATTTGGACTCTTGCAGAAGCACACCCCATACAAATTTGTCAAATGTTACAAAATATACCTTACCCGCAACTTATGTACTGGATAGGGTGAACTCGCCATCCTTCTGGAGAGATTCTGGGAATGACGAGTATCCCAAATCTCATGAGCAGACACAGTGGAAGAGAGTCCTCTTGCGAGATTGTGATCCTCGTTGTTCCCAGGATCTCACCAGAAAAATTTTGACATCACCCTCACCTAGGCATTGCGGGCAGAAGCCATAAATAGGGTAAGAATGTTTTCTAACTTTTTTCCTAGCAGGTGTTTTTGCCTCCCAGGAGGCAATTCTGTGGATTAAGGATGTTCAGGATTTACAATTAAGATGGTTGGATGTTAGGGATGTTAAGATATTAGGGAAGTTACCTCAATAAAAGTGTTGTCTCTGGACCAAAATTGTTGTATAAATCTGTAGTTCCAAATAACATGTATAAAGTTAGTATCTTCTCCACAGCCCATAAAACATATTAGAGGTTTGGAGACCTACAGGGTTATTCACAAAAGGGTGAAGAGTTTGGAGAAGGCAGGAGAAGTGAACAATCTAGGACAACATTCACCTATGGTCAAAAACTACTGAAGGTACTTAACCTCGAGGTAGGCCCAATGGGTGATGTTTGGTAATATAAGTAATTTGAGTAATAGAGTGTTAAACCAGACAGGGTTGTTAGGGGAAGTAGACCAGCCTCCCTTAAAAAAATGTTTTACTATATTCAGTATACATACATTTAAGTTTCAGAGAGGCTCTAGTCATAGAGGTACCAGGGGAAAAGGGTACAGATTGTCAGTAAATAACATTTTGCACAAGTTCATAGTAGTAGACGATGGCAGCATCCGTTTTCTGTAGAGGGTGTTGGAGAGTCTCCAAGAAGACAGTCTCATGATTTTTAGCTACACCCCCCTGCTGTTCAGTTTTAAGACCTCATACGCCTGGGCAGCTTTCTAATTGTTTACAGCAATTTGTGTTAATCACCAAATTACATGTCAGCTCATTTTTATGTAAGCCTGGAAGTCGGCCCTGGCACATGAAGCATATTGGCCCACATTTGCTTATGTAACCAAAGTTTGCATGATTAAAATGAAAAACAGGTTTGAAGAACAAAAAGAAGGAAATAAGGTGTTGCCTGGAGCAAACATCATAAGAATAAAGTCCTAGTTAAAAGTCTGCTCATAAATCTGACACAGCCTCCATAGCAAACATTTACAAATATATGTAAGCTGAATATTGATGTCAGGCTGCTTTTGTAAGTCGGGTTCTTGCTCTCAACTATGGACCTACCAACATATATACGGTAGAAATGAAAGTAACACTAAACTCAGGAGTTAAATCTTAAAAATACTATGAAGCACCTTAGCTATTAACAACAATGTATCCTATTTGTGTATCACTCGGCTGTAGATCCTCAAATCATCTCTGAATTGGTGCCGACACTGTCCTTCCTTCTGGAGGGGGGGCTACTTTTGTTCCTCATGAGTCCCTATGTGTGTTGCAAAGTAGTCACCGCTCCACGCTCACTCCTGTGATGGACTACAATCTTATGTTTAGTTTACTAATTTGTAATGAGATTGTAGTCCATCATGGGACCGAGCTTGGAGCGGTGACTACTTTGCAACACACATAGGGACTCATGAGGAACAAAAGTAGCCCCCCCTCCAGAAGGAAGGACAGTGTCGGCACCAATTCAGAGATGATTTGAGGATCTACAGCCGAGTGATACACAAATAAGATACATTTTTGTTAATGGTTAAGGTACTTGAATGCATTTTTAAGATTTAACTCCTGAGCTTATGGTCACTGAGATGAACTCAGAGGCAAATTTGCAAGAAGGTGGACTTGTTATCCATAAATGTGCTACAGTAGGTCCCATAAGAGGAGCATACCCACAAGTGCATTAAGAAATATGGCTTAGGAAATCAAGTTCCATTAATATTCTTTTATCCTGGTTCTCTAATTCTTTGTAAATGTTACTGGAGCTGCAAGGACAAAGATATTTGTAGATGAGTTTCAATAAAGTGTATATCAAACCGAAAACCTTTTTTTCTTGTTTTGGAGTGGTGAAGGATTAGAATGCACGTTTGGTTTTTCTGCTATCCAGGGCAGAGTTAAAGAGATTTACCCTCTGACAACAGTTTACCAGACAGGAAGTGAGAGAAAATATTCAATAGTAAGAGAGACAACAAAATGAATCTATCAGGGGTGTAGCCTTACCCATCTCTACTAAAGAAAAGAACATTTATACTGTGATACATTTATGGATAATACTGTTGATGATGGAAAGTTCTTCTCACTTCCTGTCTGGTAAAATGTTTTCAGCCAGACAGGAAGTGAAGGGAAAACCTGAGAAAGATTTTGGCTGGACATACACTTTAGGCAGTCACTCTGCGGTCACCAACTAGAAGTGCATGTAACCAGGGCTGTATTTATCACAATTACACCCGCAGACCAGTATCTAGGGCAGCACCAAGCTGCTCAGAATTTACAAATTTGGTAAATTTTTCCCTATTTTGTTTTCTCTTCTGACCACCTCTGGACAAGGGAGTGCTAGAAATATTGATAGCAGTCAGAAGGCACTTTAAAGTTTAGGAACTGTGAAACCATCTTTATTCTCTTGGTTGGTGGTCTGTACAGTTGAAAAGTAGTCCTGCATATAAAGCAGACCTCATTTTGTTTCCTATAGCACATTCAGTACTAGTTGTGCTAAAATATTCACATCAAACAAAGGACGGAGCTTGTACAAAAGGCCGTCATCAAGCAGTTGTGCCTAGGGCATCAAGTTGCTTCAACATGTCCCTTGCTCTGTCCCGTGTTCCTGTAATAGCTGGAGGGAGACAAGTAGCATTTTATTACTGGACAATACAGCAGTTTTATCAAAGTTGAAGTAGAGAAGAATGACTATGAATCCCATATCAGCCTGTGACTTTCCTGCTGTCACTTTTACAGTTAGAAAATGAAATCCATCACCTGGCTCTTTGTTGTAGATGACAAATGTATTTTCCTTTGCTCCATCTTTTATAAATGAGGCCAATTATTATTGGGGAGTTGTGGACTGCTACAATTTGTGGCCATGACTGAATTTCCCACCACCAGACTTGACCTGTGCAGAACACACTTGGCTATGTGTTACATTTCCCAATGCAGTTGGTTGGTGCTGGAGGCCAAGGGGTGCTTGATGGACATGGTTTTCATCTCAGAGCATGGGGTCACATTGATGATTCTCAATTACTTTCTGTAACCATGGTATGTTGAGTGTGGGTGGTGAAGATATGGCGAATGTTATTGCAGTGTCCACATCCTGTCTGCTGCGGGTTAGTTGAACTGTGATGATACATCATTCTTGTTATCCATCCAAATTAACTTCAGGGAAAGTTATTTTGGGCTCATAATTGGTCGCTTTGAGGTTTTCAGTTGATATCTCAAGTATGTAAAACAAGCCAGGCTCTGCTTAAACTCAGTTCCATCTACGTCATATCTGTACAGTTATTGTTGGAAACACAACTGCTTTATGTCTGATTTTGAAATGGCTTAGCATTCCATGAAGCTGGCCTCTCAGTCCATCAAACTTTATTCCCACCTCCATGCCTTGGAAATGGCCTTCTTAAAGAGACCCTGATTTCTCTTACCAGGTTACTATTTGTTGTCCACAAATTAATAGCGCACAATCAGACTTTCCCCAATCATCCTACATTTGTCCAGTGGAAAGATGCTGCCAATACATTACTAGAAAGGGAGAAACAAATGTGCCAACACAAAGGTTGCCCGTATACGTCCACCAAAATATAAGAGTCTCCCGCATTGGCCCCCACCTAGCTATATCTTAGACAAGCTGCTGCGCAAAATACCACATTAAGGGGTTGATTTATAAACAATTTGCAGGGCCATTCAAATATCTGTGATGGTTTGTCCTGTGCGGATATATGCACAAAAGAACATTCTATAGTTTTCTTCCTTTACAAGTATAAATAAACTCACTCACTCACTCATTAACATGCATCTTAATTTGTGATTCCCTGCTATTCCACCACGCCGGTTCTGTTTGAGACAATAGGTCCTCTGTGGGTGTTGGTCTCTGACTGGTCTTGTTGCTGCCCCCTTGTTGTTGCAATCAGTGCAGGACCAGCAGCCACATAAGGAAGGGACATGGGCACTGCTAGAAGCATTCCAGCCCTGAAGATTGGAGGATTGAGAGGATTCCCACCTTTGTTGGGCATTGTAGGATGAATTACCTGTCTTGTTTCTGTATTCTTGATCTTTTATCTCTTCTGCAGGAAATGTTCCGTAATTAATAGTTCAATCTATTTAAAGGTTTTGTAGATAAGTGTAGAGATGCCCAAAATGACAGAAGTACTGGACTTCCCCCCACGCTTCTAAAAAAAAGTGTTTATTACTAGTGTGCCCCTAGTCAAGGGATTTCCGCTCACATCCTGTTGACCACACAGGAAGTGAGATGAAATTTCCCCACTGGGCAAAACCCCAACAAAGGTTCTAACCTTTCCACACTCCAAAAAAACTATACAATAGATTTAGCTACAATTCCACTTCAAGATGTCCATAGCCTTTAGAAGGTGAACTAGTCGCTGAGTGAATGTTGACCTGGCAACACTCACATTCCTATTCAAGTCCATGTGTTTGTGTAGTATTATAACTTTTGGTGTCAATGCGTATGTAATTTTTTCTATTAGAAAATGGGAAAAGTAATATAATACACATCTTTATTTTTGTTTTCTTAGAGAAGCCTGAAATTGTGACATCCGCAACAGCCCCACCCCCTCCAGAATACCCTTATCCCAGGCCTGGATTTAATTATGATGACTGTAAGTACCATATGCGATTGAGGAAAGTGTAATTTGCTATCACTAAAGTTGATTGGGATGCCCTTCATAGATAACCTGTTATTGGATGAGAATCACGTGAATTCTTTGCATGAATGAAGATTAAAAGCAAAATGCAAAACAGAGTTCTCCTCCAAATCTTCATTCTATTGTGAATGCAATGAAATTCAATAAACAGTTAAAATAAATGTATGTGAATTGCTGTCTCTGCCAAAATATTCATAGTTCTGGTAAGTTAATCTTGTGGTCCAGGCACCCTGCCAGACAGCACAGCCACGTGCTGAACCTTCACTGCAGTTAAGCAGTACAGCTTGAATCAGGACGCACTCCAAGAATGTTGACTGGACAGCCTTTGAGTGCCATTAGGTTGCCTCATTCTGTTGCCACCTGTCACGTTTAGCCTGGCCATACACTGATTGAATTTCCTCCAAGTCCGGCACACCCACCGCTGTTAGAATACAATAGCCCGGCAGTGGGGATTCCTCTATTAACACTGTTTAGCATGGGTGGGAGAATCAAGCAATCTGTGTATAACCACCTTTAGTTTGAAGCTGTGTTGCTTTTGACATGGACCACTCCGTCACCCGTAGCAGCTCATGCAATGAGGGCTGCAGACCGACTGAGAAATTTTGCAGCAATATGTATTCAGAACAACACTGCAAACTCCACTTTTGTTGAAATAAATGAATCCCCTGGGTGGTCAATGTACATTCAATGAGTTTAAACAAATATTGTTGCAGATTCCAACCTTTTTTTTTGTAAAAAGCTATTTGTTCCAGCCTGTCCTTTCCAAACTGATCCCTGAACGGGAGGGTCTGGGTTCATTATAACCAGCTGGTAGACTTTCTGTGTTGTAATGAGGAAAGTTGCAGTGTCGGCATCCCTTTACTAGTAATTAACGCTTAGGGAATATCTCACCATTGTCACCAAAAATGAAATATTTGACTTGTAGATGTCTGTCTAAATCAGTCAGCCAATCACAGAAGTAGGAAATGACAGTTCATGTACAAAATGCCTCCAGGTTGCCACTTTATAGACCACTAGTTTGGCCTCAACCTGAATATGGGGTTCAGTTTTGGTCACCAGTCCACAGAAAAGATGTCCTTGAACTGGAGAAGGTGCAAAGAAGGGCAACTAAACTAATTAAGGAGCTGGAGGATCAAAGCAAGGATCAAAACAAGGTTGCTAAATTTAAACTTCTTCACGCTGGAAGTGAGGAGATTAGGGGGGGGACATGATTTTGTTGTACAAAATGTTTAGTGGTTATGGCAACATTCATTCAAAAATCAATTTGATACCATCCTAAGAGACTGTAACATACAGGGGTATGGGTACACTTAAATACTAGACCACACAGGGACTCTTATATACACGCACACACAACACACACAAAGGTTGAACTTGATGGACCTGTGTCTTTTTTCAACCTCAAATACTATGTAACTATATTGCATTGAGTTTTTTGACAGTATTAGAAAGTTACAGCGAATGCCGTTTTAAATTGAAAGGTCATTTTTAATCACATTAAATTACAGAATGGCACGTGCAGCGATTATTATATCTGCTTTATTCAGTTTTTATTTTTAAGTGAAGATCTCCTTTAAGTCCTTTTACTATTAGACTGACCCCCATCTCGTTAAACCTTTTATAGCAAGATGTAGTGATGATTTTACAGGGTCCAGGATTTCACTAATAGCTTTTCGGATACAAAAAATCCTTTTCATTCACTGTATAATTAGAATGTAGAGCTTTTGCCCTCTCATCTATTTTATGGCTTATATGATGAAGTTCTTTCTTCAGTTGCACGGTAGAACCATAAGATGAGCCTAAGGGTATATGTGCTATTGCATTAAAGTATAGGGGTCGTCAGAAATCAGAGCATTGTTAGATTAGACAGACGTAATAAAATGGTGTGACTGGGCTCCATAATAATGAAGGTTTTCTCAGAAGTCAGACATGTGATATCCACACCTCTTCTGTTTATCTGTACAGATGATTACACTACATTCCTGAAACCGCCAGAAGAAAAGGAAGAAGAAGAGTGGACAGATGAAGAGAAATACTCATCAAGTAATTATCTGTCTTTCTAGACGTACAAACGTGTTTTTGATAGATGACCAAAATGATCTACAGATTAAGGTGCTATAGCCATGTCAACTGGTCTCTTTTATATTTTGAATGGCATGAGTTCCCATAGCCAAGATGTCAAGTCCTAACTTCTAATAGAATTACAGATTCTCTGAATTACAGTGATCTTAATGTTGCCAATCAGTTAGTGCTTGAAGGCCTCCAAAAGTGGTGGTGTGTGGTATTTAATTGGTCTTACACTGACCACAATGCCATTTAATTGGTCTTACCCCTGACCACAATGCACAGTCCCACTCTTGGTCATAAGGTACAGGCATTCTGTACAGTATCATTTAGAATTAAATCATAAAACATTCTTAAAGACACTCTGTTACTTTAGGAAAACCAAAAGCTGCTGGCAAGTATGAAGTGAAAGCACCCAGAGGTGCCTACACACACATGCAGCTGCTTTCACTACCCCCTGGTTTGCCTGAATGCTGACACACAAAGCTCCAACACTTCCGTCCTGCCCCTTTACAACCCTATAGAACTGTGAGTAAGGCAGGAAAGGATAGGCAAGCTTTAGAAAGTGCTGAAACTTTGCTTGTCAGAATGCCCCGGGATTTGGGTGACGAAGAAGGCACTCAGACGACTGCAGGTACAATATGTGCAGGCACCTTTGGGTGACTCCACTTCTTACCAGCCAACAGTTTTTGGTTTTCCTAAAGTGACAGAGTCTCTTGAAGTTGACCATAGACAGGAAATGAGGACCATATGTTAGCAAACAGTACAACTGCCACACAAGCCTTCTTTCCCTCAAAGTGCACGGTGATATGGGCACAATTATTATTAGGAATTTTCATAATTATGTGTCTGCAGATCACCCAGACAATACTGTTAATTTGAGGGACAAATGGCTATCACAGGGGTAGGCAACCTCGGCGCCCTAACTGTTGTAGAACTGCATGAGCTATTGCAAGACTCTGATTAGCACAGGCATGACTCCCAGAGGCAGATGCACGATGGAAGTTGTAGTTTCACCACAACTGGACTGCTAAGGTTGCCTACCCTTGGGCTATCGACTGAAAACAGTGTCAGGACAAAGTCCTTTAGCACCGAAGGCAAAGGGGCTAAATTGTTCCCCCTCCATTAAGGTCTGAACTACTTAAGCAGCATAGGATGCAGGTTCCATCCTTTTTGAGCTTCCTTCCTGCTGAAGAGCAAAAGGCCTCGTCTGCCTACCCCTTGGCTAAGCTATGACATAAAAACTCCTTTGCCCAAACAGAGGCGGTCTGAGGTAGTCTGAAGCCTCTGCCAGCCTGTCAGAATCGCATATGTCAGGAAAAGATTAAATAATGTGTATAATTACCTTTACTGCTATATATGTATTTAACATGTCTATTTATTGGAAATAAACTCTAAAGCTTTGTAATCTGCATTGGTGTGGGTAACCATTGATATGGGGATATACATGAACTGGAAATCCAGCTATATTGTCAGTTAGAACACCAACTCAATAACTTGTTAGGTACACTGCCTGGGCAAAGAAAAGCCACCACCTGGATTTAGCTAAACAAATAGGTAAGAGCTGTAGGGGTTGCTTCACTTGGTCAGGTCTAGGTTCAGCAACATGATGTGACCAAAAATGAGGTCAGCTGCCTACCTGAATATACTGAATGATCAGGTTTTTCCATTAATGGATTTTTTCTTCCCTGATGGCACATTGGACATATTCCAAGATGACAATGCCAGGATTCATCGGGCTCAGATTGTGAAAGAGTAGTTCAGGGAGCATGAGACATCATTGTCACATATGGATTGGCCACCACGAATCCAGACCTTAACCCCATTGAGAGTCTTTGGGATGTTCTGGAGACTTTACGCAGTTGTCCGACTCTCCCATCATCACTACAAGATCTTGGAGAAAAATTAATGCAACTCTGGATGGAACTAAATGTTGTGACATTGCATAAGCGTAACAAAATAATGTAACGGCGAAGCTAAAGACATCCATCAAAATATGACAGTGTTTAACTATTTTTTTGTCAGGCAGTGTATTTAGCGGGGTGCATGTGCTCTAACTTGCCTTTACATATTAGAGAGAGGGGTTTCCTTACACAGGAAGGGGGCAAGGCTGCACAGCTCAATACACTAGGCAGTAGGCAGAATTCCATGTCTGGAGATCGCCTACAGCCACCTCCACCCTAGAGAAACTCAAACATAAATAAAGTGTTACCTTATAGTTTATTTATGTCAGTCAGCCTCGGAAATGACTTCTAGAGAAAGCCCAGATTACAAGGCAGTTGGAGCCAGATATTAAACTGCTTCATATCTTTTTTTTCCCTTGTTCCCTACAAGCGTAGATCTTTTTTTTAGTTTTGGATAGAGTAAGTAATAGAGAACATTTATGTCATTCTATATTTTGCTGCCTGTGTCCCACTTGGAAGATACCTCCTGTCCCAGAGAAGGAACCTGAAGTGATAGGGAATCTCTACAAAGTAAAGGGAATTGGTGGAAGTTGTGACCTGAAAAAGTGTCTCCATTGGAAGATTAACCCTTAGCTCTTGCTCTTAAATTTTGGATTTCCCCTTCACTTTTTCTACTGGTGACAATGGCCACCTGCACAAACTGAAAGGACAAATCTCCTCACAGTGTCCACAGACAACAATGAAAACTTGACAGGAGATCCAACACTTCTCTACTCTGTCCAATCTATCTAAGCATTTTATTACCTTCTTTTATTACAGAGAAACCACAAAAACCAACCAGCAGCAAAGAGGAGCGAGAGAGGGAGGAAGAAGAGGAGAGAAAACGGAAAGGTGAGCAGACCGGGAAGGAATAAGGGGGATTGGGATAGATGTGATGCTGAAAGTGATCCCTATGAGGTCTTATAATGATAAAGAAAAGCAGGCCAGCAACCAGTGTTGTATCCAGGGTATGGCGCATATGGCCAAAACCCTGGGCGCCACTTGAAGGGGGGGGCACCTCTCTGTGGGTCAGCAAAAGTTCGCCAACCCATGAAAACAGCTGCCTTTTTTTCTCTCCCCACAACTCTCCCATACACATCTCACCACCTGGCTCTTAGCAGCCAGGGACGTTCTGGCCGGCGCCCGACCCAGCTTCTGACAGCCGATTATGTCACTGGTTGCTAGATGCAAGACAGGACACCAGCCAAAGCATCCCAGGTTGCTAAGAGTCGGGCAGGGAGATGTGTAAGGGCATACACATCTACCCACCAGGGTCTTAGCAACCAGAGTGGGTGAGGAGATGTGCATGCCGGCTGGACGCTCTTGCCGGCGTCCAGCCCAATTCCTGGCAACCAATGATGTCACTGGTTGCTAGAAACTGGACGGGACTACGGCCAGAGCATACCAGGTTGCTAAGAGCCGGGCAGGGAAATGTGTAGTGCCCTTACACATCTCCCTGGCCAACTCTTAGCAACCTGGGTCGCTCTGGCCGGCATCCCTACCAGCTCCCTGTCTTGGCTTCTGGCACACAGCTTCTTTGAAAGGTGACTCTGTTTCTGGCTCTTACACTTTCATTTTTTCCATGATATCTGTGTGCTTGTTTTGGACATTTCTGCTCACTTGCTGTCCCGGTGACACCTACCACTGGAACAAGAAATGTGATAAGCTCATCCCAATAGAGACACAGACAGTGATAGAAACTTGAAAGAAGTTCTAACCTTTCCCTGATCTACTAAACATTGTTTTTGGATATCTGTGTATTCCTTGGAGAGGTTTCCTGTAAAAGGTTAGGAAATTAGGGGAAATCTACCCAACTCAATCACAGCAATAACATGCGGGTCTTACCATCCATCCATTAATAAAACAATTTTGGCTGTAACTGTACTGTAAAAGAATAAGAAATTATGATGGCTGCTATTGCTGACCGCCTTCTTAAGCTGACCATACCATTTAAGATTTGCCTGATTCAGCCACGAGTGAGTTGGAGAAGTCGCCTCTGCTGTCAGATTACCCAAAGAGTGACTGCATCTAATTGGTTGCAACCTCTGTTTGGGCGACAAATTTCTACCAACAGGGCCACCCATAGTTAGAATTTCAGCTGATTCAAAGGAATTGGCTGAAATTCTACCAGTGAATGTTCAGCTTTAAGAATAGATAGATAGAAGAACACTCCGCACACCTCACAGCATTCCTGGCCCATGCAAAAAATGTTGCTCGCAGTGATGACCACGAATGACGCTGTGTAGATACAGAGTAGAGACAAGGATCACCAGCACTCAGCAATACCTTTCAATATGTCCGTTTAATTGGACAAAGCGTCACAATAACAAATGCCAATTTGCCTTTTTTCGCCCTGAGGAAGGGACCCCGTGTGGCCCGAAACGTTGGCATTTGTTATTGTGACGCTTTGTCCAATTAAACGGACATATTGAAAGATATTGCTGAGTGCTGGTGATCCTTGTCTCTACTCAGCTTTAGGAATACTGTACTCTGTGCCTGGCTTTCTATGCCCTCAATAATTTCTGAACCACTCACATGGGACACATATGAAGATTAAACAGAACATAATCAGAGCTCCAAATCTGTTCCAGGTCCACAGATAAGAAAGTATTGAGGCCACGACAGATAACCTGCCACCTTGGGCAGGGTGCAACTTTGACTTTATTGTTTCAGTCAGTTACTTTGCAAATTATTTCTTCTGACAGAGAAGAAGAAGCCCACTGACACATGGGATTCAGAGGAGGAGGAAGAGGTCCCAAAGGAGAGGAAAAGTGAGTAGAGGCTCCTATTTGCTGTGGCTGTGTAGGATAGTGAATTTGCTCATTTATGTGATCTACAGAGACATACAGCATAATGCTTTAACCTTGCTTGCAGAGTGCCCACCTATTGGCATGGAGTCCCATCGGATAGAAGATGATCAGATTCTGGCCTCCACCATGTTGCGCCATGGGCTGCATGCCCAAAGAGGTCGCCTTAATATGCAGGTATGGCTCAGTGTCAGTGTACATTTCTGTTACTTTCACTGGCTCATTTCCTTCCCAGTGTCAAAAATATTTCTCCATTCTTTGTCATGGTGGAATCTCAAATACATACAGTATATGTTTACTGCTTCGGGCCAAAGGATTTGTCATTTTGGCCAGCCGTTCTTGGGGCACAAACCTCTTCTAATTACTCTACTACGTGGTATATCATTACTGTTTCTTGGGTCAGCTCTCTGCTCACTGGACGATGTGATCATCCTAATTCTTTGTCTGGCGATTGAACTGGAGGTGGAGAGATGACAAAGGAAGCAACAAAACTGATCTAGGAAGCTAAAGAAACAAATGTGGCACCTGCCTGGCTGTGCAGTGTGCAAGAGGGGCGGAAATCACAAGATTGGCAAAGCAGAATTGCAAATCCTTTAGCAGATAAAACAAACCATATATATATATATTTAAACGGTGAATTTGGTGTTTGTTCAGAGTGTGAGGGGCTAATTTAGTAAAAGCAGGGCTGTCTCTTTTAATGAGGCATCTCTTTGGGGCACGTGGAGTGGGGTGGAAGGTAGAGAGGCATGGTTGCTCTGCTGCACAATGTTTGCAGTGTAGCTGCCACCCCCTTACTGGCCAGAGCATTCCAGGTTTCTAACAGTCAGGCAGGGAGATGTGTAAGGGCCATACACATCTCCCTGCTCAGCTCTTAGCAACCTGGGACACTCTGGCTAGCATCCCGCCCAGCTCCACCTCACTGGTTGCCAGGACCTGGGCAGGACACTGAACCATGCGGGGAGATGCAGAGCCTGCAGAGGGCAGCGTCACTGTGTAAATTAACAACATTCCTATGGGTGTATTATTTAAACGTTCGCTCTGCGATAGTTTTAGATCCACACTGCATTATGGCCACTAGGTGGAACCGAGGAGCATAGATAGTAATTTCCCATGCTCCTTGACTCTATCTGGTGGCCATAATGTGGTGTAAATCTAAGACTAAGGCTTTCGCAGAGTGAATAGCTCTGAGAGCGTTTTATAAATACACAGTGTTGATTGTCTGAAAGTATAATGCATTGTATTATACTGGTTCTGTATAATAAACAATAAAACATAAAGATCCTTATTTTTCTATGAAAGCTTTGAGCCTCCGGTGTCCTCAGAAGCTGGAGGTCCAGATTTTTGTTTCGTCACATACAGAAATATTAAAGAAAAATCTACTGAAAAAGTAATATTTCCTGTAATGTGCAATCTTTAATGACGAAGGTGATAATAAAGAGACACTCGCAGAGAATAGAGATGTGCTAGGCAATAATAATGTTATGATATCATACATATCATAATATTGATGCTTTATGGGGGAACAGTATTTATGTAAAGAGGGGTAACACGGTGTCATCTAATGAGCATACCTCTTTAATATGTATGTGCTATATTTTATATATGTATATTAGGGCTGCGGAAATTAACGATTAATCCCTCGATTAATCGTTAATTTTTTTGATCGATCAAAATTATTTTGATCGATCAAAGTTCTTTTGATCCGTACTCACCTCTCCGCCGGCTTCCCGGTCTTCCGTCGACTCTCATTCTTATGAGTACTTGTACCCCTGTACATTACGGTACCTCAGGAAATCGTCCAAAAGCTTCTTGAACGATTCCACACTCTTAGCTGAAATCACTGGTGGTGGAAGTGAGTTCCAGACCCTAAACGCTCTTACTGTGAAGAACCCCCTTCGCCCCTTGTAGAAGTTTTTTAGAATTTTCTTTCCACCAATTTTAGGTGGTGGCCTCTAGTTTTTGTAATGGAGTTAATCGTAAAGAGTTTGTTGCTAATGTTTCTGTCCCCATTGAACATCTTGTACATGAAAATCATATCCCCCCTTAATCTCCTTACTTCCAACGTGAACATGTTTAAATTTAGTAGCCTTGTCTCATAGCTCTGGTCCTCCATTCCCCTAATTAGTTTGGTTGCC